ACAAGCATAATCATTGTACATTTTACAATGAAAACCCACTACCACAAAAATTACAAGGTTACCCTACGGAAAAGAAGACCAAAATCCAAATTTACTTTGATGGCTAATTAAAAATTAATTAAAAATTCTTCTTACCATAGTGTTGTATGCATAGTAGGACATAGCTTTTATTATTATTTTTAAAATTTTAAATAAATAAAATTATGTTTATACAAGACCTGAAAGTTAAAATGTTTTATTTTGAGGACAACATCTCCATACCTGTTTCYATTGACCATGAAAATGCGCAAATTAGAATTTTGAAAATAAATTTGCTTAATGGAAACACGTCAGTTTAAAAAAAACATATTTTTTGACAAAATGGTTTTGCACTAGGATGAGGTGGATTTTTGGCCATATCGAAATTATTATATTTCACAAAACCACAATGGAAACACTTTTTTCACACCACAAGGAGTCACGTGATCAACAACTGGATGTTTCTACAGGAAAAACAGACGACAAAGAAGAAGACAACAGGAAGTTGAAGTAGTAGTAAATTCACCGAATACAATTTCCCAAAAGTGCTGTAAAAGTAGCTGCTCCCAATTATAAGGGGCTTGTTGTTTAAAAGCCTCGATGAGATGCCAACATCTCCTCTGATGGCTAATGATGAGCACTAGTGTCGTGGTAGCAATGTTTATGTGTTTACATCCAATGCCGCCATGTTTGTAATGACTTATTATGAGAACAATTGCATTCACACGTGACTTTAACAGCATTTCTTACTTAATAGAAACACAGCAATTGCGAAACTGTTTTTTTAWCATTGACAGAATATCGATAAAGTTTTGCGCACATTTGTAATGGCAATGCAGGTCATGTTACTTTCAAGGACCAAGTCAATTAAATCCCTTGTTTCCTTATTCCAAACATTTATATAAAAAAATTAAAGCCTTAATGTAACCAAAAACAGCATGGACTTCCCTAAGGACCCTAAGGCTCCATAATCTATCTTCACACAGGATGATKACTTTTATGATGCTTTCTATGATCTACAGGCTCTGGTCATAAAATTAGAATATCATGAAAAAGTTTATTTTTTTCTGTAATTCCATTCAAAATGTGAAACTTCTTTATTATAAACATTCATTACACACAGTCTGATATATTTTAACTGTTTATTTCTTTAATTTTGATGATTATAAAAGACAACCAATAAAAATCCAAAATTCAGTACTTCAGAAAATTAGAATATTGTGAAAAGCTTCAACAATGAAGATACCTGGTGCCACACTCTAATCAGCTAATTAACTTAAAACACCTGCAAAGGCCTTTAAATGGTCTYTCAGTCTAGTTCTATAGGCTACACAATCATGGGGAAGACTGCTGACTTGACAGTTGTCCAAAAGACGACCATCGACACCTTGCACAAGGAGGGCAAGACACAAAAGGTCATCGCTAAAGAGGCTGGCTGTTCACAGAGCTCTGCGTGCAAGCACATTAATAGAGAGGCGAAGGGAAGGAAATTATGTTGTAGAAAATAAAAGCGTACAAACAATAAGGATAACCACACCCTGGAGAGGATTTTGAAACAAAACCATTCAAAAATGTGTGGGAGATTCACAAAGAGTGGACTGCAGCTGGAGTCAGTGCTTCAAGAACCACGCACAAACATATGCAAGCATGTGAAAGACAGTTTTAATTCTAAATTGTTATTTTTTACAAAATAGTTTTAAGAACAAACATAACCTAAAATGTTATTTTTTACAAAATAGTTTTAAGAACAAACATAACCTAAAAAACTGCACAGTCTATCCCCAACAAATGAAACAATATAAAACAAATAAAACAGATATTCCAAAAGTCAGGCCTGGACTGTGTTTCCAAACTGTGTCTCACTCTAGATCTCCAAATGTGKCTTGTCGTCAGACCTTATCAACTCTGATAGCAGGATGCCAGGACTTGAGGATAGAAGCAGTCAGAGACATGCAAAGAGGGTGCAATTGTTGTGTAGTCAGGTCAAAACAGGAGTCTGATTCCCATAGAGGGGAACTCACAACAAAAAGGCAAGTTTTCAATGGACAGAGAACCAACAATCACCCGAGATGAGAGAGAGTGCACTGCACAGAAGCCCCCAGGGGCGCAATAAATAGAAGGGCATTTGAGAGGCTATAATCTTGTTACTACTAATACTTCCTATATATAGTTTAGGTTTATTGTCCTCTAGGAACTTTACCAGGGCCTCGACAGATTTAAAGGTCCTCAATAAATGATTAATTTGGTAGTAGCAATGCACCTGGTTTGCAATTTTCTCTTTGTATTGCTCCTTTTCATTTCTCTTCTGGTTTGGGGAATTCTAAAAACAATGCAATGGCAGGTTTGATTTGTCCCTTGGCAATTTGCACAGCCTATTTTCGAGCATGGGGAAACTATTTTGCTGATTTAAGGGGACTTTATCCCACTTTTAATAAGAATCAAACATTTAAACTATGAAAGAAACTAATCGTTCAGCATGCGGGATAAATGTAAATCTTGTGATTCCCTGACATAAACTGCACTCATTCTGTAGCCTTTCCACTGTGATTCAGATAGAATGTTCTAATATACAGAACAGAAATGTTCTAGTGGAACATCACTGTCAATTTGTTTTGCACTATTTTTTCATCAACCACTCCTACCTTATAGCTGGTTGCAGAGGACATTTTGATGAACACATTTCATTTTCTGAACCTGTATGCAAAACAAATGTTTTAAGTGAACATCATCCACTGGCTGGAAGCAATTCTGCCATAAAGCTTTGCACACTTCGATTTGCAATAAACCCAGAACTGTCATTTAGGCTAAGTTCACACTGCAGGTCTTAATGCTTAATTCAGAATTTTTGAAAAAAAAATCCCTTTTTTGTTTGTGTGTTTAGATTACAATTTAAATGTGACCTCCATCAGACTAGTGAGAACTCTCCACAACACTGATGCTACCTGCATGTAGGATTAATACCTACACCTCTTATAACAAGGCTATAAGGATATTATTTTAGCAAGGATCATTTTATTTTCGGTAAAATATTCTTCCTGTGCAAAGTGAAAGGACACATAAAAGTGACTCTCAGTCAGTGAATTTTGATTTGATCCATAAATAAATGCGATCATTTATTTTACACAATCAAACAAAATCACTACCGTACACTTAATTGTGAGCAACCAATTTCCTACAAAAAAGTTTAACAACAAACTTTGAGGTTTAGATGTTAATAAACCATTTGTTTGCTGCACATTTCTTGAGTTTTGGCAGGGCAGGTTTAAGAGGAAAGAAAGGAGGAAGAGTGRTTAGTTTTAACTTTAACCATTAAAGAATGTGGATTTACCCAAAAAGGGCAGATGTCTCTCAACAAATTCAGTTGAACCTCAGGTACGCTTAGCAACAAACAGCCATTATCTTGACCGGGGATCACCACCACCGCTCAAGTCGAAGAAGATCGTCCAACTGATGAAGAACTTCTTGGAACCTCATCCACTCGGACACTTTCGAGGTGTGTTTAGGTTACTCCTTCAGCATTTTCATCTGAGCTGCTGCTCGAAGATCAGAGACGAAGCACTTTTTTGCTATCCGTCCGCTTGGAAGTTTCAAAACAAAAGTTTCTCTGTGAGGAACTTTGGTAAGCAAAAATAAACAAGACCGAGTGAGGGTCTGTCCAGGCTGAGAGGTTCTCCCTTTGACTCATGGATTAATCCTCACAGCCAGGCTGGTTCTCCTCTGAGCCTGTTGCGTTCTCGAGCATTTGCTTTCCAACAACTCCACAGACTGACTGACAGTTAGAGATGTTAGTTTTAAAAGAAAGGAAGTGTTATTGAGCACTGCCAGGTGTTGTTTGTCTTAAACAAAAATTGTTGACATTTGCACCTGTCGTACAGTCTGTTCTGACCTGCTCTCTGGTGAGAGTGCTTTAAAAAAGAATGATTTACTGAAGACTTAAAAAATGAATTATTTCATATAAAACATTCATTATAATGATTCAGATAAAAATAATTATAAAATGTTTAATAATAAAGCTAAACCATAATGCAAAGTTAAGCAAAATATTTAAATTTAAAAATCTATTAATTACTGTGGTTTCACAGTTAAAGTTCAAGCAGTGATTTACATCAAAGCACAATAAAACATTGTAATACCATTTTTTTGTRTTTTATGTTTTATACATTGATAAAATTATGAATGAAAGAAGATTATTCTGTTTATTATCTGATTAATAAGAAGAAAATGTCTCTTTACTGTTTAAGAAAACATGTTATGACTTTAACTCGAACAGAGTTCTGTCTCTTTAAAGGAGGCCTTCTTAGAGCAAGGTCAAAGACAGGTGGAACTGTTTATTCCACCCCTAGGTGACCACTACACGCATGTGCAGAAAATGACAAGRTGACATTAAGCTCACTTTAGATCATATTTAATAGCATATTTAAAAACATAGAGAACAGTGGGGCAAAGTTWATGGAATAAAATATAGCCTTCAAAACTGAATGATGGGAGYTCCACAGGGTTCAGTCTTAGGTCAGTTGCTTTTTTGTTTATACATCAATGATTTACCGGACAGTTGTAAMTATGCCAAATGGGAGATGCATGCAGATGACACTATTATATATGTATCTACAAAGACTACAACAGGCAGCGGAGCTACTGGACAGGGAGATGGTGGGAGTGTCTCAGTGGTTTAAGAATCACTGTCTGACTCTGCACTGCATTAAAACAGTCTCAATGTGTTTTACAATTTGTSTGTAGCAACTTGTCAATTGTGATTGATCAGAGAAAAATCCAAAAAAGTGGATGAGTTTAACAATCTGGGTGTAATTTTAAGTTCCCACCTTAAYTTTGAGTCTCACATTAGGAAAGTGCCTAAAACCATTAAGACAAACAAACTGTTTTCATCTTATAAGATAATGTCTATGTAGAAAAGCTGATCAAGTGTACCTGCATGTATGATGATTAGTGTTTTCCTGTGGCTTCTCTGTAGCTGATTGACTCACCTGTTGASTGTTCCACTAATGAGCTCCAGGGCTTTATAAGGATCACGTGACAGTTCGGTCGGTGCTGAAGCATCACACCTGTTTGATAGTGTTTTGTAGCCTTAAAGTTAAAAGTCTAAAGTTAATAGTTATTTATACTTACCTCCTTTTTTCAAGGTTCCCATGTCAAGACGTTTTGTGCCCACGGMCAGCTCTTTGGATTTTTGCCACTACGGATCTGCGACAGAGGTTTTTGTTGAATCAAGTTTTTTTGCCTTGCCACTCTGCCTGAAGAAAGTTTACTCACCTTTGGATTCTACCCTTCCTGGAGCCTCACCACTTCCTGGAACCTGTAAGAATCAAACAAACAAAGAGAGAGTGAGAGAGAGAGAGAGTGAGGGGACTGTTTCTATTTTAAAAGTCCAACCAAGGACTGGGTTTGAAAATWAGCAACAACGGCTGCTTTTTTAAAATAATGTAACATTGTATTTTGTGCTGTCCTTGATCAAACAAAAATGAATGAATGATTTATACAGCATGTGATTGGTATCAACGGGCCTCATGCAAGAACATGTTTGTATTCTTTTTTTGTCACTTCAGTAGAAAACAAAACCAAATATTATTAGTTTATTTAGTTTATTTATTTCTTCATCATCAGTGACTTTTTTTAAAGAGAAGAGAAAATAGAGAGAGAGAGAGACAAACAGAGAGAGAAGTAATTAGAAAGATTGAAATAGCGATTAGAAGTATATTAAATATACACCAACAAAACACAGGACCACACACCCAACATCTGTCCGCTCACATGAAAAATAAATGGATAAATACATGGAGGGCATATATAAATATTTACACATACCCATACATTTATAAATATATGCATACATACAGTACATGCCTACTTTCATAAATATTGTCAGTATATACACACATACATATATACACACTCAGTGACCAGTCAGAACCCCCCGGATCAGAACACCTGTTTGAGCGGTTGTGAACATGCGTGTATATACACGATTTCTTCAATGGAATATTTAATAGTGACTATGGAGGACCGA